TGTGTGTGTGTGTGTGTGTGTGTGTGTGTGTGTGGTTCATGTGTAATTTAAAAATATCAGGCAATTTATTTTTTAGATTTAATTTTTTAGATGCAGTAATACCATGGTAATAACAAGTTAACATTAAAAACGGACCTTTTTCCACACTTACTCATCACTGAGAAGGTGCTTGTCCGATACAATGTGGTTTAAATTGAAAAATATTTTATGCCTGTTTTACAAAATAATTCTGTGAAATGCAAATATAGTTCACAGATTTTGAATGCATTATGAGAATTAAAGTGTTTGAAGATAGAGAGTGGGAATATGATTGAAACAACAACAACTCAATCTAGCATATAGCTATTGATGTCTGCATAGAAACTTAAAAGCTTATGAAATACGAAAAGATCCAGCCACTCCATCTAATAAAGGGACCCTTTCACATTGACCAAAGCAGTCCAAACACACAGACACTGTGTCCTGTCCTCTAGATTAGTTCACATAAATGACAGAGTACTGGGTTTGTGAAAAAGCTTTCAGTGCCTTTGGCTGTATTGAAGTAATGGAAGAGCTGAAATGATGCACAGCAGTCTCAGGACGCCAAATCGTTCATCAGTTCATGTTGTCTGTCTGTAGTGCTCTTAAAAATTGTTCGGAAAATAAAAGCCCTGAAGAGCTTCGATAGGTAATGATGGTTTCCTTCTTATTGATGTAAAAGAAAAGAGACACAGAAATGGCCTATTTTATTGCCAGCTGTAACGTCTTATGGTTTTGCTGCTTCATAGTAGCTAAGCACAAGCCTTTAGTGCTCATAAGGCCAAAGAAAATGAAGACAGAACTGTCTGCCATCATTTCATTTTATGAACCAATTGATTTTTACTTAAATGAGTCCTACTGGACATAATACAACAGAGGATTGCATTGAAACAATAATCAACTATGAGTTATAAAACTGATAAAAATGCATACATTTATATGCATTAATCCATGTATATTTTGTATTCTCCAAAGCAGCAGAGCATTGCATTGGAATAATATAAATGACTATGAATTCTAAAGCTTACATAAATGTATGCATTTATATGCATTCATGCATGGTTTGGCTACAATGCAAATGAGGTTTGCATTGAAATAATAAACAACTATGAATTCTAAGGCTGATTAAAAAATGCATGCATTTACACTACCGGAATATTTTTAATAATACCAGTATAATTAGACATTTTTAAGTTTTTTATGTAATTTTTTAATGTTAAAGTCTCTCATGCTAACCAAGCCTGAACTTATTTGATTAAAAATGAGTGCGGTCAATCGATTAATTGCGATTAATCGTATCAAAAATAAAAGTTTTTGTTCACATAATATATGTAAGTGTACTGTGTATATTTATTATGTATATATAAATACACACACATGCATGCATATATTTAAGAACAATATGCTGTTTTTATATTAAATATATGTATATATAATATAAATGATATGAATATAAATATATACTTTCAAAATATATACTGTATGTGTGTGTGTGTATTTATATATACATAATAAACATACACAGTACACACACATATATTATGTAAACAAAAACTTTTATTTTGAATGCGATTAATCGTGATTAATCGTTTGACGGCACTATTAAAAATGCAGTAAAAATAAATATAACAATGATATAATATAACAACAATATAACTTTTCAACTTCCAAACTTTGTTTATTAGTGTATATGCATTAGTGCATGTATATTTCATATTCTCTACTCACCCTGAAGTCTATACCGACTGTTGAGATGAAGCTCCCAGCAAGAAACGCTCCATCTTTAAAGCGAACCAGCAGACAGGTTTTCCCCACCCCAGAGTCACCAACCAGCATTACCTGGAGAGAAAGACATATGAAAGATGGAGCAGAACACACAATCTATCCCAGCATCTCTCCTCTCGTCTTCCCTGCCTCTTATTCATTCTATTAAGATACAAACAACCTCTCATCTTTCCATCAGCGCGTCAATCAAACTATGTCTCATTCCCTGCAGCGCTTAGAAAGACTCTTTCAAAGCCGTAAAGATTAAAGGCATATCGGAGTGGGAAGGAGGGGTTTGCTTGAGGAGAGATGAGATTAGAACAAAACTACATACTTAGTACACCAAACCAGTGATTTTCCCAAAAGGAAGCAGGGCTATTACAGTCAACAAAACAATAAAAAAAAAAAACTCATTTAATTTAGTTTAACTTGATGTATTAAAACAACTACAAAAACTATATAAGCTGCATGTATGCTTTGGCCCTATATATATATATATATATATATATATTACAGCTTTAAAAAAAATTGAGCAAAAAATAATTATTATGATACATTTTTACCATGATTTACAGGAAAAATGCCATTCAGTGTAACAATAGTTTGTATACCGAAAATGTCAGGCATATTTGGAACAAGAATCATTAGATAACGTAAAATGTAGTATAATTTAGTCACTTATTCTTTTATATATTTTAATAACTTCAGGTCAGAATAAGTATGTTGTTTCATTTGTACATAAATAAATTTCAACCATATTTTGACATTTTATTTTTTACAAAAGTTATTTGAAACATTAAAGCAGACACTCTACTTGCATTTAATATACTTTCCGTGTAGATAAAAACACTTTTGTAAATTGAATCTGATGCAGACACCAGAATGGGACGTCTGTAATAAAACTCTGATAGCATATCAATGATACTAAAATTACACTGACATGAAGTAAATGGATTTTGCTGTATATAAAACTAATTCGACTCAAACTTCATTACATGCCAGTACTTCCTTTCATCTCTCAGACCTGTTAAAACTTGTGATGCCCAAACAAGATCAGGTGTCTCATTAAAGGAAGCAGCTACTTGATCATTTTTCACTGACATCAGTGCTTGTTTTTGGTTTAAATGAGAATTATTTTAGGAACATTTACAACCGCTGGTGGTGGTTGAAGAGATTTCCTTCTAATGTAATGAATTAAATGAAATGCAGTAGAATATGAGCAAAAAGGAGCACATTTCTGGTTTGGGGTACTTGAGTCTCACTGATGGAGTTGTGGGGTATAAAACAGGTTAGGAAACACTGGTTTAAATGTATGGAGCTGCAGGATTAGTTTGGGAAAGCGGGGCAGTGCTCAGCTATTCCTGTTCCTTTGCACTGTCCACTGGTGAATGACTGCAGACCATTCCTGACTGCATTTGATGCTATTTGATGAAAAAGCTATGCATATGATTCATAAAGGAAGGATTATATAAATGCATTATTCACCAGATTAAACTGTCTTCCACATCAGAGTCACCTAAACATTTCAGCTTAAACATGCAAAGCTCAGAAGAAGAATACGTCAGTGTTGGATGCTAGTAAGTGAGCGTACTTGCATCAGGCTGGATAACCCAGTTGCTGTGCTCTGGTTTATCTGTATTGACACAGCTGTTCAATTAGAGGCCGCGCTTAACTTCAGTCAAACAGAGCGCGTAATTCTCGCCCATATGGGATGGCTGGATAGTATTGCATTGTTTTTAAATACTGCTGTAGCATAAATAAAAGCCACAAACTAGTGAAACTGCACACAATCATTAGAGCTATGAAATCTAAATTATATAAGGCAATTGCCATGTTTAGCTGGCAAATATTTACACACACATATTCACATGTATGGCAAGCCATTTTAACATTTTTTTCCTTTAAAACATAACATGTATTAATTTTGGCCTATGTATTAAAACTTATTATTATCTCATTTTAATGTTATTATGCTTGTTTTTTTATTAAGTAATCCAAAAGTAACTTGTGCCTATTCAACAAATGAAATACTTAGTAGTCTGAAACAAATAGCTGATCAACTTCAGATTGGTAAAGAATATTAGTTACAACAAATTAGTTACCAGTAACAATGGAATAGTTACAAGTATTAAGTACAAGTATGTAATGGATTAAAAATAGTGTCAAATTGAATAAATACTAGTTAGAATGGGAATATCAGACTGAATAGTTCGTCAAATTCAAATATACTAAGAGTCATTGAAATTACTTGCAAATATATATAAAAAAAATACTATTACCATTAACAATGAAATATAAGTACTCGATACTTTTGAAATAGTGACTAGCAGAAAGGGAATAAGTACTAGTATGTAATGAGTATGTAATTGTAACTAGTAACTAGTATGTAATGAGTATGTAATGGACTAGATACTAGTTAGAATTGGAATAATTAGCATCTTCTGAATGGTTAGTGAAATTCAAATACTAATAGTCACTACAATTACTTAGTGGTAAACATAAAAAAATATTACCACTTATAATGGAATAGTTAATACTATTGAGATACTGACTAGTAGAAAGGAAGTACTGGCATGTAATGAATGAGAACTAGTAACATATTAAGTAGATACTAGTTAGAACTGGAATGTCAGACTGAATGGTAGTCACTAAAATTACTTACTAGTAAACATAAAAAATACTAGGCCTATTACCAGTTAAAGCGGAAAAGGGAATAAGTACTAGTATGTAATGAATGAGAACTAGAGAGAAACTAAATTTGAATAATTAGCATCTTTTTAATGTTTAGTAAAAATAAACTAAAAATACATTAAAAAATGTGATTTTAACAGTAAAAGACTGTAAAAATGCTACAGTAAAAACCTGTTAATTGGTTATCAGTAAGTTTCCATGCTACATGCGGTGAATAACTGTAATTACATTTAATGTCATTTACAGTAAAATGCTGTTAAAATTACGGTTTTTGGAAGTGAAAAAGAAAAAGTCATTCTATAATTTACAATGAAAAAAACAAAAATTGACACTCCCAGAATTCCCTGCATGACACTTCATATTTTATGTTTTTTCATTGAAATAACTATGTTTTTTCTTATTTTCTTCTTATCAGTTGTGTACACTAGGGTTTTATCTTACATCTAATGTTGTTAAATTAATGTTTATTGCATTATTTCAGTATCGTGTGTTACCATGATGGTGTTTAGTGTTTGTGTGAATGACACTGTGCACCTTCTGTATATATATATATATACAGTGGGTACGGAAAGTATTCAGACCCCCTTAAATTTTTCACTCTTTGTTATATTGCAGCCATTTGCTAAAA